AGGCATCTGCACTATTCCTTCTGAACTCATTACAGCGAACAGAACATAGAGCAGAAAAAGCATTTTTTGCTGGCTATAAATCATGAGTGACACTAAAATATTGCTATTAGAAGCAGAAAAATGCTTTCCTCCCCCAGCCTCATCCAGCCCTGTGTATGTACAACACTATGGCAAAGGGTGATGGGGTGTCTGGATGGAAAATTAAATAGAGGTTGTGTTGTCTGAAGATAAATTGGTACCTCCTTTGACGTGAGTGACTTTGTCTTTTTCTGATTTGTCTTTTAACTTAAAAAACACTGAGACTAGAGATAAGGATGAGCTTTAAAACCCTAGCCTTTGTCCCCTCCCAGGCTCTCCTGAACACGTCCTGTCTCTGAAATGAGCTCAAAATGAAGATTAATGTTCTGGCAGTAATATGCAATATTATTTTTGGCATTTGAAGAATCCCAAGTTGATAAGGGAAAACTGAAAGGAAAACAAAGCTCTGTTTTTTTCAAATGCAAGCGACCAAATTCTGCTTATCCATATGAACCCAGAATCCTTTCTTTTTTTCCCAGATTCTTGCAGTAATTCCTGATTTTCACCAGAGTAGCTGATTATGGGGCCTTATTTAAAGCCCAGCACATTCAGAGACCCTGGTGGAATCACACAATAACACGACTGAAAGACAAAGGCATGAGAAGACAGTGCCAACTCCCCAGCTCCTGCCCAAAGGCTAATTTGATTTTGGACCATGTTAGCTGTAACAATGATAAGATTAACACCTGATATCAAGGGAAAAGCTGAACTGTCTGAGAGCTTCTTCAGCAGAACAGAACTCACTGCAGCTCCTCTGGCACATTAGCATATGTTAGAGGAATGGCCCCTTTCCTGGGCTAGTGTGCATTTCCCTATAGAGCCTTTGTGCAAAGCTCAGAGCAGTGTTTCTGCTGATACATTTGTGGGTATGTTGAATAAAACATGTGCCATTTGACATTGTTTGCTTGGGCTTCCACGGAGAATGGGAGAGGGCACCTGTTACTGTAAGGCAGAGAGCCATGAGAGGCTGAATCTGGCATTTCTAGGAGCAGGATGGAGCCCAGGCTCATGCAGGAGCACGTCACGTTTTTGATTCTGAGAGAGCCCTGACCAAAGGACGCAGCTCACCCTGCATTGACTGAAGTGCCAGCTGAATATGTTACCTTAAGACAAGGAAAAGTAAAAAGCCCAAACCTTTGCTCTCTGTACGTGCATTCCCTTGTTACAGACGTGTATGCTTTGGAAAATAAATGGGAAGGGATTTTCAGAACAAGCAAAGTGTTTTAGAGGCAAAATTTCTAGTGCTTAGAAAGGCTCCTGTGTCCAAAGCACAGCCTGTGCTCTGCAAATTTCAATGTGCTTTGTCAAGGCTGGAAGTTTGATAAAAGACTGGTTCTCAAGAGCTCTTAGGGCATCCTGTTCTAGGGAACAACAGTTATTGATGCTGCTGGTTTTAAACTAAGAAGTTGTCACATCTCAGCTGTTCTTGGATTTGACTGGCATGTGAGGAATGGTTGCATGGAATAGCTAGAGGCATTGCCACCTGTTGTGTCTATTCAAAGTTAATAATTTTCTAGGCAATTAAGAACTGTGCAGTGGTACATTTTATAATTCAAGATTTGTATGATGTGACCAGAAGGAGCGTCCTAGCATAAGAAATAGGATGCTTCTAAAGGAATTCAGGATCTCCCTCCTAAAAGCTGTGAAATATTCTCAGGTCAGTTCAGAGAAGCAGCATGTTGAGAAGGATCTCAGCAAGAATCAGGAAGAGCCCTAGAGGAAATTCGTTTGGCCACCAGGTGCAACACTGTCTTCCAGATAAGCTTTGATGGAACACTTGTTCATTTCGTTTCTGTCACGGTGTTTCCAGCTCTGTAATGAAATGCCTCATCCCTGGCAGCTGTTGTGCCAGTGACAGGAGTTGTTCTGTCCCACGGCAGTGACACCAGGGCCAGCTCTGCAGAGAGGAGAGTCGCTGGCCAGGCAGTCACAGATGTGCCTTTGGCAAGGAACAGTGGGAAGATGACTCCAAGATTATCTGTAACTACTAAAGGATATGCCCTTGACACCCACAGAGCAGGGTCATACCTCTCCTGAGCTCTAAATAGTTCAAAAGCTAAAAAAGCTGCCAGTCTTCGGTTTCATGAAGCTGATCGTGGCAGTAAGGCCATCTTTAACAGGGTGTTAATATTTGGGGAACCTTCATTTCCGAGAGATTTCTGTTTCATGGAAACAAATTAATTCTTGTCTTCTATGCAGTCACAATAATCAGAACATACTCTTTATCTACTCTGACCACCCTTTGTTAAGCAGCTTTGCTTCCTTGCTCCCCACCTTCTCTTGTTCTGTTTGGTACTGGACACTAAGGCCCCTTTCCCTCAATAGAGGCATCATAGTTTTCCACAGGAATACACATAGTATGCACCACTAAGAGCTGGTTTCCTTGCCAGCAGCGGGTGTGGAAGGTTGTAACTTTTTCCAATGGCAAGGAAAAAACAGAGAGCTCACTGGGCACAAATCTACCAGTGAAGCTGCACAAGTGAATTAAACAGAGCAAACAAGAACTTTGCTGTTACCTTTCAAGTAAATAGTTTCTCCTTCTCAGTTTGCTCCAGCATAAAAATCCCTCTGCCCTGTACATGCCACTGACAGTATTTATTTTTTAAGAACTTGGATCTGTTTATTTATTTATCCATATTTAGTTTAAAAGTCTGGGCTCAAAATTAAACAGTCATTCATAATGTCATTATCTGCCTTGCTCTGCAGTTAGATACTGTGTGTGGTGTCACAGGACAAAACCTTTGGCAAGGCCTCTAGAAGAGCAATTTAGCTCCTCATCCATCTTGCCTGGCAGCATGATTGGCTTCCAAGCTTGCACTGCTAAATTTGTTATTTTACTCTGACTTATATTATTGAGTGTTAAATCACTTTCTGAAGTGTTTATTGGTAATAGTTGAATTCTTTCCACCCATTTGAGCTACTTTTAAAACATAAACATTTCCTTGTATCGTGGAGCTTGGTGGAAAGGTGGGGAGAGTTCCTCAGGAGGATGGGATGTAGAAATGACCAGCTCATTAAGTAGGAACAGAATTTACCAGTGTTGTGGAGGAGAATATCCTCCCCCTTCCATCAGGATGAAACAGTAAACTCCCACTGCCACTCCACAGCACTCACATGAAGAAGGTGAACTTGTGTCTTGGTTCTCCCATCATGTCTTGGTCTGCCAGGAAGCAGATGACCTGTTTACTGGAACACCAATGACTTCCTGACAGGATCTTTGTAGATCCTGACTCTCCCTGGATAGAAGGCCAGGCTGTGACCTGCAGGGTCAGGTGCTGAGGAGGTTATTAGGCACCAACATGCCCATGCTTCTAAGTGTGAAGTGTGGTCTGCAGCCCCTCTCTGGCACTGATGTCTCCTGGGAAGGAACCAGAAACAATTTTCTTATTCCTATTTAGGAAAATGGAGCAGAGGATCAGAGAGCAGAAATAAACAAAGAGCTTAAAATCTACTGTGGCAGTTAGAAGCTGAGCTGGAGAACAAAGGCCAGAGGCAGGTCAAGCTAGAGAGAAGGCAGAATTTCAAAGAAGCCCTTTGGCAACTGATCTCTTGAGGACCCAGATGTGAGAGCCCAGCAGCCTGATCCAGGCCGGTGTACTCAGTACTGCAGGTCCTCTTACCTCTTGCCCTTGCTTCAGTGAAGACTTACAAATCAAAATTTTTCTTTTAATTTTATTTTTAATGAGGAGGTCTGTTGAGTCTCTTTCCTGCATCTGGGAGTTACTTTCCAATCTGATGAACACTGACTTTTAGAGATGACACCAAGATCACAGTAGCAATCAAGACTCCTTTGATGGCAGAGCTAAAAATACACTCCCCAGCTGACACAAGCCTTCAGGAGGAGAACACAGAGTTTGGTTTGAAAGAATACATCTTCCTTAGTCTCCATGTCTTCTGCCAGAGGACACCAAGTCTGTGAAAACCATGCAAGCAGGTTGCATCTGTCTTCTGAAATGAAGCACCCATATACAGACCCATACTACCTTCAGCCTCAGCAAGGGCAAAGCTTTAAACCCTCTGAGTGCCTCGGAGAGTGGTTTCATTGGCAGTTTTTTGCCTCTCTGGCCATGATGGCATTTGTCAAGTTACTGCATGGCAGGAGCCACATTTTTAGCTGCGTGCCCTTGACAATCCCTTAGGAAAGGAAAGATCTGGGGCAGCTGATGGACAGGACTGAAACTGAGCCTATCTGCTTCCCTTCCTGCTCTCCTCCCTGCTAATTACAGGGCGCTGGCACACAAGCCCTGGCTAATGAGGCATTCCCAAAGCCCTGCTTCTGCACTTGCAAAGGAGACTGTGGTGAGTAGTGCCACTGCCACCTCCTGGGCTTTCGGAGGACTTGAGCACATCCCGTGGGCTGCAAATGCAGATTTATGCAAATGTTGGGCAAGAGAGCATGGATTGCCCAGCTTCAATCTGTGCCAGCCCGCTCTCTCCCCGGGTCAGAGGAGTGATGGCACTAACAAGCAGGTGTTTTCAGAACAGAGTGCAGGTCTCCCTCCCCTTGGAGGCATTAGATGGATCATTAAGGCTTTTGGGTAGGAGATGTACAGATGAACAATCACACACAATATCAGCTCCACATTTGTAATGTGTAATGTGTCAGGGGGTAAAATGTTGAGCAACCCACTTTGGCAAATGGAAATAGCAAGAAGGGTGTATTTTTCTGGTTAAATGAAAGCCTTCTGTGTGTGTTATTTTTTCTTGTGTCTCCATGCATAACTTGAACGCAGCGAAAGGAAAAATTAATTTATTTGGTCAGACAAAAATACACCAGATTTATTGTTTTGAGAGATACAGGGGGTATTTCGTATTTCTACATGGCTGCTGTAGCTATAATTGGCAGCACAATGCTCTGTCAAAAAAAGGCATTCACCCAAGAATGTCTCTGGGCCCAGCCAGCCTCAGTCCTGGAGGTGGATGTCCCATCCCTAAACCTCTGTGGGCAGTGCTCCATTGCCAGGAGTCTGTTTGATGCTGCCATTTAGGGTGTTGGCCCTGAAGATGTAAGACCTGCCTCTGACTGAGCCTTCAGTGTGGATGCTTTCGGGCTTGTTCTGGCAACGGAAGAACATAAGGAAGCCATTCCTGTAGTTCTTGTTCATCCATCCATAGAGCAGGGGGTTGACAAACGTAGAGCACATGGCCCCAACATGGAAGACAGTGTACAGGAGTTTGTACTCATGGAAGATAAGAACCAGATCAAGATCAATGGCAAGCTGGAATATGTGGAAGGGGAGCCAGCAGACTGCAAATACCACAACTACCATCACGAGCATTTTGGTTGTCTTCCTCCTCCTGCACTGGTTTTCATTCCTAGAAGTGGGACTAACGTGGTTTTTCAGCTTGAACCAGATCCTGGTGTAGGCATAACAAATAATTGCAAGAGGAAGAACGTACTGCAGGAGGAGCATGGACAGACTGTAGATGGTGGCATCTCTGTTGTTAGCAGAGGGCCATTTTTCTGAGCAAACAGCCATTTTGAGGTTAATGGATGGGATTTCCTCGTATCGGTACTCCCTGAAGATGGCCAGAGGCCCTGCTAGGATGGCTGCTGCCAGCCACATGACAGCTATGATGGTGAAGCTGAGCCTCTTGGAAATCCTGCTGTCCAGGTGGAAGACAATACAGCGGTACCTATCCAGGGCAATCACAGTCAGGGTGAGAGTGGACACATGGACACTCAGAGCCTGAGCATAAGGAACCAGGTGACAAAGGACAGCTCCAAACTTCCACTCGTCCAGCAGGGTGTACACTAGGGTGAAAGGCAGACAGAGTGTGTCCACCATCAGGTCTGCCAGGGCCAGGTTAGCTATGAAGAAGTTGGTGACAGTCCTCATGGTCTTGTACTTCACTATGATGTAGATGACCAGGGAGTTTCCGATGAACCCCAGCAGAATGATGAGGGAGTAGGCAGCAATCAGGATGACCTGGACCCCCAGGATCTTGGTGCTGTCCATCATGACACTGCGGGACCCAGAGAGATCCTGGGTAGGAGTGACAAAGTCCTTGGCATGCCAGCCATGTGGCAGCTTCTCATCTAATGCTGTCTTCTCCATGGTGAATGTGCTGTTGGCTCTCTCCAATGGTCCCATGCCTGGCCTGAGACTTTCTGTAAGGAGGAGAAGGGGGTCTGGAACACAGACATAAAAGAAGTGAGAGCAGAGGTTGCACTCACCTTTGATGAGATTAATTGTCTACAAAAATTCCCTAACGCCTTAAGAACTAGGAAAGCAGAGAGACAAAGCATTCTCAAAGTCAAGGTGTTCTTCTCCACCTCCCTGTAATTTATTTATTTCCAGATTGTGCACCAGGGTTTTTTCTGTTTCTTATTTCTCACCTCTCCAGGCAAAAATATCTGTTCGTTTGCCACTGCTCCTGCTCGTGATGCTGCCACCCCATCCACCCAGTACTGTCTGCTCTCCCTCCCAGTAATGTGGGTAGCACAACTAATGACATTTCATGAGCCAGTCTCTGTGATCAAATATCTCATAGCCATTCCCTGGCCCTCATCATCAGGCCCTCAAGGTCCTGTGAAGCAACTTGACAAACCAGTTTTCTTCTTCCTTCCCCTGCCAGTCTTAGGGTTCCCAGGCATCAGGCAATTGTTGCCTGCCTTGGTGGCTTTGAAGGTCACAGGCACCCAGCCAGGCAGGGCTTGTGTCCCCACCACAGAAGAGGGAAGTGTGACAGCACACAGAGCAGTTACAAGTCCTAAGTAAGGAGCTGCTGGACAGTGAGACCTGTGAACCCTATGGCCAGGAGACACCTCCACCATCCTCTGCTTTCTCTAAGGATTCAGTGAGTGGCTCATATTCCTTTATAGGATTTTTGAGTCTAGATTATGATTGTTACAATGATACAACAAACTGTGTGTTAGGATTTGGCCCAATCTGAAGAGGGTCCAGGTGATTATAAATTATAAGTTGAATTATAAATTCTGTATTACTTAGGTGATTAGAAATCATAAATAATTTATAAATTCTGTATTTTGCTATTTGTAGATTGTACTATGTTGATTCTGTTTGCAGAAATCCTGTGCTGTTTCCATCATAAATTCATCAGTTCTACACTAATCATAATACCCTGATAAAGAAACAAAGCTCTGTCACCATGATTTGGTGCCATCTTCATTCTGCCCAGGACCCCTAAAAGAACCTCTCTGTCCTCTCAGTGTTGGTGACACCCAGGCATCCTCTGGCTAAGCAGAGGAGGGAGCTCCTGCAGGGACATGCATGTGCAGGGCATAAACCACTGAAGCTGTGAAGAAGCCTCCCACAGAGCTGCTGCTGAGCATCCAGGCACAGAGGGGCCGAGAGCCAGAGCCCCAGCATCCATCAGCCTCAAGTGCCTGCGTGGGATGGCTGTGGGAGCAGGGAGCCCAGAGCTGAGGCAGCCTGGAAGCCCTGGCTGGCATTAGGTGCCACTGGAACAGCAGTGTTGGCACAGCAGGGTGTTCATTTAATCCAAATACGGCAGGAGAAAAGCCAGCTCTGTTACTGGCTCCTCCTCAGCCTCCGTGGCTCAGGATTGCTGTGGGCTATGTGGAGAGGGGTGGACATGGCCTCTCACTTATCGCCTCTCCGCAGCCCCATTCCCACTGCAAACTTAAACAAAAGTGAGCAAAAGTCACCACCCTGCCCAAGCAGGGAGGTCAGCAAAGCATTGTGTTTTCTCTGACCTGCAGAGAAGGGGGAAGATGCCCTTTCACTAAGGGAAGGGAGGCAAAGAGCTTAAATGAAGTGGGAATTAGAGGCAGACTTCTGGCTATCTTCTGAGGCTCCTCAAGCAGGGAACTGGGTTTGTCCCAGAAAAGATGTGAGCACTGCTGACTGGGTGCTGGTGGGCTTCCTGCAAGTCCCATGCAAGCCCAAGGTTTCAGGGCAGCCTGTCCTTGGGGAGGGAGGATGCTTTGCAATTGCATTTCAACCTAAGCTAAAACATCTGCTTGTCCTGTCATCCCTCCTCAGAGCAAGGCTGTGATTCCCCCTCAGGAGCTGCTCCCAGGAGTCTGCCTGGTCAGCTGCAAAGCCAGGACCCTGCTGAGGCTCAGCAGAAGAGCTGCCTGCACTAAAACCACCCCTGCTGGCACCCTTTCTCTTTCCCTCTCCCTGTCCAGTTGCTTGCCTAACATCTCACTCTGCAGACTGATTTATTCCAGTGGTAAATGAGGGTGTTGGGCTCAGACACTCTGAGATAGGGGACACCATGTAGCTGCTGCCAGGAGGGTAGGAAGCAGAGGAAAAAATGGGTGGATCTGCTAGGGTCAGGGTTTGTTTAAGGGTGATCTCAGACCTCCACAACGCCCCTGCCTCAGCCTTGGAAAGACCAAGGGGAAGCTCCAGCTTCTAAGACAGGAGAGAGGAGCTCAGAGCCATGCCACACAGTGGGTGCAGGGCAGAGCAGAGCAGGGGAACAGGGCCCTGGGAAGGTGGCACAGCCCAGCCCCTTTGGCAGCCAGCTGTGCTGCAGCTGGCCCTGAGCAAACCCCACTGCCAGGAGAGCAAGGTCAGCCAAGGAAACAGAGCTAGGGACACTTTCAGTGACTGTATTTTCCCTGCTTGACATCTATGTGGGATTTAAACCTTCTGGATTGTCCAGCGTTACCTTATCACTTGTTACCGCCTTTTCTGTGGCTTGCCTGTTCCATTTATCTTCAGTACCAACTCCTGGCAGCAGGCCAGTGGACACTCCCTTCTCTTTTTCTCCCTCTCATCCACCAACTGGCTGCCAGTTCCCATGCTCACATCTCAGCCTATTTCCCTTTGCTGGAGACTGGCAGCTGCCCACCATCTGAGAGGAGCCAGGAACACCATGGCTATTGGAGCAGCTTCACTTCCTAACAAAATGGCCTTAATGGAGTCACTATTTCATTTTGTTTGTTTTGTTTTTCCTACAAATCAATTAAGGCATTTTAATTAAGAGACAAAATGATTACAATAAATGTTCCCACTCCAGGAGCTGTCTGGAGGTCACTGGGATGCTGCTAGGAGTGGACTGAGGTCTGTTCCAGCAAGTAATGGAAGTACTGGCATATGTGTAGGCTGCTGTCAGGCCCCATGCCTAACAGGCCTGCCAGACTAGATGAAAAAATCCTTGGAGCTGAGAGCCAACTGTTTTTGGGACAAGAAAGCAGCTGGAGAGACCAGGGGGAGGCAGAAGTACTATCCAGGTCCTTTCCTCTGTGCTGAGTTGTCATGAAGGGTTGCAGAAACAGAGTACCAAGATAACCCCAACCCTCACCCCTGCTCCAGCTGAGGCTCAGCCTGAGGCAGGGCTGGGACCAGGGATGGCTCCCAGTGAGACAGAGCTGTTCCCTGCACCAGCAGGCTTCAGCCTTCAGGAAGAGGAGAAGCACAGCACAGCCCTTCACTCAGCACACTGCTGTCAATGACTGGGACAGTGACCAAAGTGACAGCTCCATCCCTACAGAGGGCCCAGACCAGGTGCCCTGGGGCTCATCCACCTCTGCTTCCTGGGGCACCCCAGCTCCCTCCATGTCCCTGCTGCAGTCCCAGGCATTCAGCCAGGCTGGAAGAGGCACATCCAGACCTGGAAGAGCCATCTGTAAAACCTGGCAGGGTTCAGAAAGCAAGGCTGGATGGGTGGTCAGAGGGCTGGAGAAAACAAAGATTGTTAATTAGAATTTCTCTTTTTGTCCAAGCAGTGAGACTGGAGTCCATGGCACCAAAGGAGGGAGTGAAGGGTCTTGGGCCAGTCTCTGCTCTTTGGTTAATGACAAACTCTTCCTACAGCAGTGCTGGAGTGTGAGGGCTGAGGCTGATAGACACTTCCATGGCTTGGCTCACTGATTTATTCCATGCTTGTCCTTCCTCCAAAGCAGCTCAACTCCACCAAATCCCTTAATCTCCAGCAGCCCAATCAGGAGCGCTGATTCATCTCATTCTCAGACCTATACCCAGACAGACATCCATGATAAGGAGGTCTGAGACCATCCCTCACCAAGAGAAGCTGGTGGTCACCCTGGGACAAGCCACCTTCTACCACCTTCACGTTCCCTTCAAGAGGCAGCAGTGTTTTCAGTGTCCCTGCACCCCACAGCACAGCACTTAAAGGAGGACAACACAAAAAATGGGAATATGGAGGTTAACCAGCCTGCCAGAGACCACACAGCACATCCACAGCAGGGCTTGGGCAGAGCCCGAGTTTTCTAAGTCCAGCCTCCTGTATTCACCACCAGAGAGGTGCTGCCTCTCAGCATAAAACCTGAACATAGATCTCAGGAACTGCATGAAAATGCAATATGTGACTGATGGAGGGGAACAAATTTTATCTTCTCTCTGCAATAGGCAGGTTTCAGGACAAACAGCAGCTCTGGATGATTTCCTGAAGCCAAAGAACAGACAGAAATTATCCCAGCTCCTTCTATCTCCAGTGAAGGGGTGATTGCCTTGCTATGATACTCTAGCAAAAGGGAAGACCCTCTGACCAGCCCACCATCTGCTGCAGCTCTCTAAGTTATCTATCCAACTGAGGGCCACTGCTGCAGAAACCTCATGGCATCAGACACTCATTGCTACCCAGAACTGCTCCTGGGGGACCCCAGCGTAGAACTGGCACTGGGAGACAAAGTGCAAGGATGAGGAGATACACCAGGCAGTTCTTGTGGTTCCTCACACTAAATATTTTCATGTCCCAGCCTAGCTGGAGCCATGGAAGACTATGAAGGGGACAAGGCAATGAGGATGCTGTAATCACCCAGCTCTGGACAGGATGAAAAAGGAGGTGGTGAGAAGAGATCTGTTTGGCAGGCATACATGCTTTCTCATGGGAATTTATCCTACAGAAAGCAGGGAGAGCAGTGCAGGGCAGTAGTGGGATGTGCCATGGGAGCAGAGCAAGGCTGGCTGGGACATAGGGATCAATGGGTGACACTGAGATACAGACACACCAGTTGCTGGGGCTGTAGAAAGGAAGAGACAGCGTGGTGGATGGATCCTGGTTAACCTGGGGAATCTGTTACCTCCTGAAAATTATGGAGTCTGGGATAGGTGGGACAGTGGAACAGAGGGAAATAACAATTCACTGACAGAACAAATAGAGAAAATGCAATATCCTTCTTTGGGACAGACCAGAAACTCTGTAGGTGAAATGCATCTGCAGCAGGACTATAAGAGGATTTCTCTGTTCAAGCACTAACATGCAATGGGTGCTGAGAGAAAGCAAGCACTGATTTTCCTCCTGTATCCCATATCCCCCTTTGCATGTCCCTCTCTGATCTGTGTCAGAGAGCTGAGTGCAGCAGCGTGTGCAGTCCCAGCACGGAGGAGCTGACGAGGTTTGTACCAAGCCACAAGGAGGCAGACTGCAGGAGACATCAGGATATCTCAGGCAGCCACGCACCTCAGCCCCTCACCTGCACCTCTGGAGCTGGATGTGCCCGGGTTCTGCAGCACCCTGGAGCAGCCTGCTCTCCTGACTGCTCTCACTCAGCTTCCTGCTTCCCACACTCCCTACTTCTGCTCAGGGATCTTTCAAAACTCAAAACCTGTCAGTATTTCATTAGCTTTTTCTATTCCAGCTCTCAGGGCTGTCAGCCCCCAAATCCAGCTTCCCACAGATGCTTGGACCTTTTTTGCCTGAACCATGTGGCATGGACAAGACCTGGCCCCCTCTCATCCCTGCTGCTCAGGTGAGCCCCCCTTGACCCACCTGCAAAGGCCAGAGCTTCCTCCTCCTGCAGGAACCGAGCTCTCACCTCCAGTCACTGTCTCATCGCTGGCCAGGACGGAGCGCTTGGTCCTCTCCACTCTCTGGAAGTCAACCTGTGGCAAAGGAGTGAAAAGCACTTTTCTGTAACTGTCCTCGGAAGAGAGAGGACGTCAGGTGAGGATCTGGGCTGCTGGAGAGTGTTTCATGGCCAGGAGTAGCTTTGGAAGCCGTCCCTGAGCAGCGGAGAGCCCCTCTGGCAGGGTGACTGACAGCCCCGTCTCACGAAGCTGGATGCTGTCTTCGCTCCTGAGTGAGAGAAAGGCAGAGAGCGTGTGTTTAACAAACAGCAATGGAAAGGGGGAGGGAGCCTGCTGCTGCTGTTTATACAGTGTTCAGCCACTGAGGGGCTTCTTGCATCGAGCAGAGAGAAGCCTTTCCACCACATCCAGTTTCCTCTCCCGGGAGAAGCGCTGGGAGCTGGAGCTCTGCAGGCTCCCCGTCCGTACCACGGACCTGGGCAAGTGTTATCTGCCCTCACTCCACAGCTGTCTCATCTCCTCAAGCTTTGAACTCATTGGGACTGGCACAGTCATGTCCAGAGGGGATCTCCCATGCAGCAAGAGGTCTGCAGGTCCTGCAGCTCAGCAGAGCTTTCACAGGCCTCCCTCCACCCTCCTCTGTCTCAGTGCTTGCACAGTGCTCAGAGCAATCTGCAGCTTTGGGTTGGGACTTCAGGGACTCCTGAGATACAAACAGAAATAATGATGAAAAAGTTTTAACCACTTTGCAGTGGCTTGGTCAGCTCCAGAGCCAAATTCATTGTGGATGTGGAAACCACATGAGTGACTTTCAATTTTAAGATGCTCAGCATTGTCCACACACCTGAAGTAAAAAAGAGAGAAAGACAGAAAAGCAGCATCCTCATGTCCAAATCTGCAAAATCCAAGCTTGCTGGAGGCCAGGAATGCACTCTAAACACAGGGAAGCAGATAAGTGCAGATAAGCCCCACCTGTTTAAAGATTTTGCCCTCAAGGAGAAGTCGTGTATTCCCAGCATAGGATTTCCAACTCAGGCAATGTGTGAATTTGCAGCTCACCTGGGCTAGGAGATGCTCCCACAAGCTGAGGGGAAGGATACCTCTCCTTGGCTTTGAGTACCTGCAGCTGGAATTTTATCAGAGAAGCCTTGCTCTTTACCCCCACAGTGAACTTTGTTCTCCTTTTCTTTGTGAGAACGGAAACAGGGAGGCTTTTTAAGCACCCCTTTGTGCCAAAAATTCACAATACACCAGGAAAAATAAAACACTCTAATGGCTCAGCAGAAAAAGAGGAATGAGAACATTCCTGAAATCACACAGAAAGTGACACTTGAACCCAAGACTTGGACAAGAGTCCTCATAAGTCCCATCTTCCCCCTTCTCTCTCTGTCTCCCCTTCAGAAGGAAAGGACTAGGCATGAAATCCACCAGCTGTGCTAACTGGATTTTTGTGGGAGTTTCATGTCTTCTCCCCTTCCATTTTCCCTAAGGCTGTTGATTTAGCTGCTCAGGAAAGCTGGGAGTGGAGGGAAGGAGGACAAGACAAAACTGCTTGGAGAGAGCCATTGCTGTCTCCAGTGGCTGCAGAGAGGCGAAGAGCAGCAGTGAGTGGAGCATTCTACTCCCCCTGTTCCCAGTGGATGGATACTCCTCCTTTCCAGGGTTCTCAGCAGTGGATGGTTGATTGCAGCTCAAGATTGTTTTTTCCTCCTTTCTCTTCTGTGTGAGATTTTTCTTGCTCGCTCCCCAGATTCCTTTGCTACCACTCCCCACTCTTCTCTTCCCAGGGCTGAAATGAGATGCCTGGGGAGAAGGCAGTGATTGACAAGAGAGAAATTTGTGCAGCCTGAAGCTGTGAACCTTCATCAGGACCATGGGGTGAATTCCAGTCATTTTTGGCACGTGGTCTTTGCTGGATGATAGCAAATGCAAGCTCTTAAATCATGGATTAGTCAGTGCAAGTCCCCAGTATGTCCTTTCCCACATCTAAGGGGTCCAGTGGAGCACCAAAACCTGCTGTGCTCCAAACATCACCTCAGCTCTTCAACCAGACAGAGCAGTGCAAAAAGGTGCAGTTGAGCTCTCAGCACACCTGGAATGCCATCCCAAATGGCACCCACCAGTCTGGAGTTTGGTCCCCAGTCCCTGGGTGCTCCAGGCTCTCCTCACAGTGCCACAGGCACAGGCTGCCTGCCAGTCTGCCTAATCTTCCCCAGCCACAGCCAGGAGCAGGTGCAGCAGAGCCTTGGCTCTCCCTCAGGAAGGGACACCTGGGGGCTGCAGTGCCAGACCCTCTCACTCCTGGTGGGTTCAGAGGAGCAGTCGTGGCACAAACTGCAGCAGCCTGAACACCAAGGTGGAAAACAACCTCCCCACACAGCTTACAGATCCCAAAGCAGCTGAGGGTCTTCCCAGCCCCAACCAGCAACACTCTGAAGGAGGAGGAGGATGGGGCGATACAAAGATGGTGCCTTGCATTGTCCTGGGGTATGGAAGGCTGTGCAGCCCTGAGCAGAGCTGCCAGGGCCCACTGCATGCACTGTTGTAACCTCAAGTCTGGGGTGTTCTCACACACAGGCTGGATACCCACAAACACCTGCACAGGTGTCCCAGGAGCCTCGTGTCCTTCCAGACATGATGGGATCATCCAAAGGATCTTTGCAGCTCAGAAGCCTTTCCCAGTGGTTGGGCTTTTATTAGGGAAAAGCCAGACTGCTCACCCATGCTTCTGAGAAATACAACAATGAATTTTGTACTCCAGGGAGCAAAAATGATGTCAAAAGGCTGAGAAATGGGGCAGAGAAGAGAGCTGTCTTTTGGTCTGTAATCTGCTCTGCCTCTGTGAGCGGCAGGTTCTCAGTCTGAGCACCTTGCAGCTGTAAACTATCTGCTGTAGCTTAACTTCTGTCACACAAGGAAGGTGGATTATCTGTTCACTCCCTGGGAGGAATCTCTAAGAAAACTGTTACCAAGGCTTCCAGATGCTCTGGTTCATCCTGCTTCATCTGGAACAGCAACAGTGACATACTTTAAAAAGCAGCTTTTCATTTTTTAAACATCTGTTTAATTCCACCTGCATGTAACCAAAATATTTCCACTGCTCCTTCCTGAGGTGTCATGCCTGTGTTTTCCTGAGCAGGCTCCAAAGTATCAGCAAGTTTTGGTAACACAAAAGCCCCTTTTCCATTCGAGCCCCAGAGTTCACGGATGCAGTGGATTTGGGAGTTATGCATTTGGGAACTAAATTAGCCACAAAGAGACTCAGGGGTGGGAGGGCGGATGGCAAGCTGTACCTTCTCTGAATTTAAAAACAGATTCTCGTTTTGTAACAGCTTTTCGTCCCCATGTGAACATTTCTGGAATTAGTGAAGGAGCAGAGACACCATGAGGGACAAAGTTTGGCTAAAATATCTGAGCTATCTGACACTGATAGTGTCAGTGAGAGGCACTGGAGAAGCAGGAGGAGAGATGAACCGTGGGTTGGCCTGGGACTGGCCTGGGTCTGCCACAGCTCTGCTCACCTTCAGGGCAGGGAGAAGTCAGGGATGCTGGGTGTGTCCGTAGGGTGAGGGTCAGTGAGTCAGGAAAGAGATGATCATATGGAAAAAGATTAATGGGATTTGTCCTGCTAAACACATCACCCCACTTCAGCTCCTGCCCTACTAGGGGCAAACCCACAGGGCTCCTTTGATTAAGACAATTAATGCCTAGGAGGGTTTACCCCTTTCATCCCCTTCCCACCCCTGGATCTCACTCTGAAACACAAAATCCCCTTGATCATCCTCACATCAGGACAGAAGGACTCCAGGCAGACATCAGCACTGCTGAGCCCAGAACTGGCCCCTGCATTTAGCTGCCATTTCTGCAAGTCACTGCACTCAAAGCTTTGTTAATTTATTAGAGGGTTGCTTGTTGTTTGTGTACTGAGCCAGGTAGAAAACAGCTTCTGCAGAAGAGGATAATTGCAGTCAGATAAGCTCTTCAGAGCCGGGATTGCAAAAATACGATACGATGTAGACCAGCAGTTGTCTGGGTAAAACAGAAACATGGATGAGATTTTGGGTTGGAACATGTTTCCCCCATCTCTCACAGACTCCCTGTCTGCCTTTGGGTAAATCATTTGATGTATCTCAGTTCTCTGTATATAAAAAAGGTTATAAAAATGCCTCACTCTGGCAAACTCACCCCTGGAGCAGAGGACCTGGTGCTTGGATGTGCAGCAGGGACAGATGCTTTCCCACTTTGCCCTATGGGATTTCTTTCTAAGTTGCCCATCTCATTTAGGCAGCGTGTTCTGTCATCAGGGTCTTGCTCTCCCAGACTGAATACTCCTCCTGCACAGTTCTACAAAGAAATTTTTGCCCAGGCTGTCACTCCTGAGATGACAAACAGTGCTATAAATGCCGGATTGCGTGATGAGAACAGGCAGAGCTGGATGGGCTGATGGCAGCCCCAGCCTAAACTCTTCCAAAGTGTCAAGAATGAAAGTGATGCAAATGGCTGGAAAATTCAGAGCATGACTTGTCTTCTATGGTCTTGGTGTTGCCAAAAGGCGCCAGGTATCCAAGAGCTGGGATCCAGGTCTCAGCAGTACCGTGGCAGCTGCAGGATCATGTTTGCCCCTTCACTGCCTCGTTCCATCTTTTCTGGTCCTGTGGGGACCCACACCAGCTGTGGCCAGGGAGCAGGTCACCCGTGCCCTGCTCAGCTCAGCAGTGCTGGGCTGGGCTGGCAGCAGTGTGTGAGCACAGGAGGGTCAGACCCACTCCTGATTTAAACCCAGGGATTTGGCTGAAAATCCATTTGGCTCCGTGTTCCCCAGAAACATGACTCACAAGCCAGTGTCTGACACTGAGAGATAGGTATGACAGCGAGTGCCCCATGGGGAAGAGCTGTGTCCCCAGGGTATGAGCAGAGCACGCAGGAGCTGAGCAGAGACCGTGCTGGAAAGCACAAAGCCTTATAAAGGCAGTGCTCTGGGTTTGTCCTTCTCCC